TTGTCCGTTCTATATGTAGAAGATTATACTTGTTCTCCGTCATGTTGTTTCCTTAGCAACAACTTGAAAACAGGCATAGCCTACACTTCATTCTTTACTTTGTCCGTTATTATATGTAGAAGATATGAAATGTTTCTCCGTCATGTTGTTTCCATAGCAACAACTTCAAACAAATAACAACTAACCGCTAGCCGACAAAGCTAGCAATCACAGCCCACCTGCTCCGTTTTCGGAGGACTTTGCACACGTTTTTCACAAACATTTTCACACGCTAGGATCTGTAGATGTGATTTGATGTTAGTCGTGTCCCCCAACATCCTCTCCAAAGTTCCATATATTTAATAAACATACTCAGGGGAGTTTCCTGAATTTTCAGGCCCAAAAACCAAGCACTAGGCCCTGGGTAAATTAAGAGGCTAATCTCGGGCCACTTTTTGTCCACTTTCCTGGTGGTACGAACCTCAAGCCAGACATCCCTGGAATCGTCTCAGAGAGTAGAGATCAGTGGGGCCTTGTTTTTACTGAATTGATGTGTTTTTTTATGGGGAATTCAATATGAGCTTATTTTTAGGATTTTCGGAGACTTTGCACACGTTTTCACAAACATTTTCACGCTAGTATATATAGTATGGGAAGTACTTCCATTCGCTTCGCCTTGAACTGTAGATGTGATTTGATGTGTCGTGTGTCTCCCAACTCCTCTCCAAAGTTCAGATACTATATACAAATACTAAAAGGTAAATAAAACATTAAACATAATGACAAAATAACAACCTGAAATATATGTATTCTATCTACACATTTCGTAATTATCTAATCTAGTGGCCTTATAAAAGTGTTGGCCTAAAGTAACGTAAAGTAAAGTAATTGTAAATAATTAGAAACATATTTATGTGCACAAAGTACATGGGAACCCCACCATAGCACCCCACACATAACAAGCTGTCCCGGAGTTTCCTCCGGCTGCAGTTCCGCAGACGGCCGGTGTGTTGGCAGCAGAGCGCTGGGAGCAGAGGGAGGTGAGTATATGACGGATATGACGGAAGACGGATGCCACGGAAATACACCCGAACATATCTGGTAGCCCGAACATATCTGGTACTGACAACGGCATCTTATCATGGCTGCCAAGTGACGTACTTCCGGGTCATTCACTTGGTTAGGAAGGTTCCTAAGCTAAATGGGACTATTGGACTGGGCCCCAGTTCTTATTATACATCCAATGGGTCTGGCAGTCGGACCAAACAATCACTCTGATTGGCTGTTCAGCTAGCGAATCAGTGCATGAGAAGTGGAAACGGAAGTGAGGGACCGTAAACAAACGATTTAAGAAGGCACACACAGACTGATATTCATTTTCATCTCATCATGGCAATCTGGAATGACGCAAACGAAGACCTGCTCATCACATTGATCCAGGAGAGGCCAGCTCTGTACGACATCACAGAGTACTCGAACCGAGTAGTGAAAACCGGACTCTGGCGAGAGATTGAAACGCAACTTGGTTTCTCGGTTAAGATGATCTTTTCATCAATTGAGCTCTTTAGCAGATATTGTTGGCTTTTTATTGTTTGCCAGCGTACAGTGACGTTAACGTGAAATGTAATTTGTTATTTCAACCTTGTGTTTTGTTGTTATCTTGTTGCTAGCTGTTGCTAGCTGTGCAGTTTGGCACTGCATATAGATATGAATTGGACATGCTAACTAGCCACAATGCTTACATCGTTATTTGTGTGCTTCAGAGAAAGAGCTGAGGAAGAAGTGGGATTCTCTGCGAACCCAGTACACCCGGAACAGGAGACTTGCCCCTTCGGGTAGTTGTGGAGCACCAAAGACGGCCAGACAGCAGTGGATCATAACCAGGCTGCAGTTCGCACACGCTATTTGTTGTTGTTTATATCACGCAGTCTGTTCTTCTTCTCTGTCTTCCGGTTGTTGCCTATTTTTAATGACGAATACACACTACCGCCGCCCTGCTGGTAAGGAGAGTTATTGCCCACTCACGCACTGAAGTCTTTGCGGTGTGTTCCCGTGCGATCACATGGCCAAGACGCAGGAGAACACCGCGACGCAAACAGCCCGACGTCGGCGTCGGCGAGTCCTCTGGTGACTGTTGGTGTGTCAGGGCCTTAAGGGAGAGCACTATGCGGGTACAGGGACATTATGGCCGGCGTTATTGCTGTCAGAGAACACACTACGCTAGAGCAAAGACTCCAATGCAGTTTTCCGTAGTGGTAAAGGCTGCATTATGGCGGAGCCCGCACTCACACAAGAGCGCGTGGCGGTGCGTTCAGGGACCTTAGTTAAAACACACTACGCCTATAAAGACTCCGATGAATGCTGTTTACCGTAAGTGGTGAGAACAGCATTAGGGTGGAAGCGCGCGCTCACACAAGAGCGCGCGGGCGGTGGCGTTCAGGGTCCTCAGTAAATAATCGGCCCCTTTCTGTGTCAACCCTCCATGGGCAAATCTTCCCTTCGCGGGGAGTTTTTGTGGGCGGAACGGGTCACCAGAGAGTATCACAGCTTCATAGCTGCTGCCCCACACCTGAGTGCTTGTCCATTAACACAATGTTCTGGGGAATGGAAACTCAGCTGTGTGCTTACAAGGTGGAGGGACAGGACGCTGAAACGGGGCCATTCACTCCAGTTTTGCAGCGTCCCACTGTACCACATGTCTATACACTGTACCAATGTATCACATGGACCACTGTCTTGTGGGTGTCCCACACCCACCCATCTTTTATGGGCATGCAAGAGGTAAATCTGTCCTCCCAGGAGGAGATGTGTTTCCTCTCAGCAGAGATTCAGGCTCTGGTGCAGAAACAGGCTGTGTCTGTTGTGCACCCTCAGCACAGAGAAAATGATCTTTATTCCATGTACTTCCTGGTTTCTCAGGAGGACAGGGGAATTCAGACCTATTCTAGATCTCAGCGGCCCTGAAATCGCCACATTTCCTGCAGGAAACTCTGCAGGTTAACTATGAAATAGTTACTGGGGCTTGTGCAAGCCAGGCGATTGGTTCACCACCATCGACCTGAAAGACGCGTACTTTCATGTAGAAATTGCTCCAGAGCACAGAAAGTGTCTGCGTTTTGCCTTCCAGGGAATAGCCTACGAGTAGAAACAGGCTGCCGTTCGGCTATTCCCTATCCCCACGCACATTCAGCAAATGTGTGGCCCACAGCGCTTCAACCGCTGCGCGCAACATCGGCATGAGAGTTTTATTTTACATAGACGACCTCATAGTCATGGCTGGGTCACGGGAACAGGCAATGTTTTGCACAGCACAATTGATCACACACCTAACCAAATTGGGCTTTGCGATCAATTGGAAAAAGAGCACCCCCATACCTCACCAACAGGCGCTGTATTTGGGTGTGGTGCTCGATGCAGGCGCGTCGCACGCCACCCTGTCAGAGAGCAGACGTGCGTCCCTTCTTCAGGGGGTGCGCAGGCTGAGACAGGGGGGCAACAGTGACAGCTTTTACTGTCATGCAGACATTGGGTCTCATGGCGGCTGCTCACATGGTGGTCCCGTTAGGGTTACTACATATGCGCCGCCTGCAGAAGTGGTTCTCCAGCCTGCGCTTGGATCCCAAGAGGCTGGTGACCATCCCCCCCTCAGTGGAGGGCAACCTCC